GTCGTAACTATGTCCATTTAGGTCGGCACATGGCTTCTGAGACGGCCGCATTTCGATGTTACGCATATCTTCCTCTCTGATATGCTTATCCAGTAAACCATAACTTTCATCAGTAACAACATCATATAGCCAACATGATGGTAAGTGTGCTATGCGTTTCTTTTAAAATTCCCAAGCTTTGACGAAAAAAAAGATCTTGATTTGACGTCGTAAGGCTTGAAGTGAAGCCTCTTCTTCAGAGGGTGGTCTAGAGAGGGGAGCAGGTGATCGTTCGTCTGCACGTGGAGGGACACATGGCGGAGCAAAAGAATTGTCAGCTGGCGAGTCCAATTTTTCATGAAATTTCTCCGAAATTTTTCTGTAGTCGAACGACCTTAGAAAAAGCAGAATTTGTTTTGCTTTGTTTCAACTTTGAAAATTGAAGGTGTTGCTGTCAAGCTTGTGACGTTTCTTTACACTGACACTAAGTACTAGTGGGTGTCGATTCGCAGCACGTCCCTGTTCGTGTTCCACAGCAACTTTGAAGTATCGGACTAAGAGGAGCTTCCTCGTCGAGAAGAGGAGGCTTTCGTCGAGAACTCTCAAGTTGTTTGAGCTAGGATATTGCGCTTGTGAATATTGGAATACTGCACCTAGTGCATATCACCTATAAATATGCTGGGTGATCAATCAAAGGAACCGTGCTAAATCAAGGGGAACATGGCGATCTTAGTTTGTGTGGAGTCCGTTCAGACTTGTGAGATAAACTCCAAGTTTTCAGATATCGGCTCTATCGAAATGTCTAGGTACCCACCACACATCAGAAGCGCTCAAGCAAATAGCACCTATGTTCAGATTCCTTTTCACTCGTAGGGTAGAGCATCGAGATGTGAGTCATGGGGTGGTTGGCTGTGCATCATCTCCGAAAAAGCCAACTCTGAATAGAGTGAACTAACAGTTGACCAAGGATTCAGTGAAAGCATTCTCCTCTGTTTTCTGGTAATACTCCACGTAGCCTGGCGTATGGAGTCAGGAAACAGCTGAAAATACTTTCAGTACTCTCCCTCAGTCCTCGTTGCACTGTTAGTTCACGCTAATGAGGGTTGACTTTTTTGGATCCACACTCCGCCACCCCGTCAGCGGCGATGTTCTACCCTACGAATGAAAAGGAATCTGGGCATAGTGTTTGCTATTTGCTCGAGCGCTTCTGATTGGCAGCTAAGGAAAACTCAGAAAGCGATTCTCAAGAATTTAGCCTACCAAAAGAAAGCAACCAGCAATTAGCCAGCAGGTGAGTTACTAGATCTCGGATAGAGGGTGTGTGCTACGCTGCAAAAGAACCTCGAAACATTTAATAATTTTTGGAACATTTTTACAGCAATAAATGCGAAGCGGCTCATAATTATGCGCCGAGCTAATACATATGCACCAGCAAACGACTTCTTCTTCTTCCAAGATGGAAAAGCTTGAGCTCCGTTGCCATCACCCACGCCTTAGAAGATAAATAATATATTATATAAATTGTTGTGACCCATCTCCGATCTCTCGTTGTTGAACTTTGTGGGCCATCTCCAGTACCACGTTGTTGACTCTGTTGTGGGCCATCTCCAATCCCACGTTGTCGTTGGCTCTGTTGTAGTATATCTCCAATCCCTCGTAGTTGACTCTGTTGTGGGCCATCTCCAATCCCACGTTGTTGTTGGCGGTGTTGTAGTATATCTCCAATCCCTCGTCGTTGACTCTGTTGTGGGCCATCTCCAATCCCACGTTGTTGTTGGCCTGTTTGTAGTATATCTCCAATCCCTCGTAGTTGACTCTGTTGTGGGCCATCTCCAATCCCACGTTGTCGTTGGCGGTGTTGTAGTATATCTCCAATCCCTCGTCGTTGAATCTGTTGTGGGCCATCTCCAATCCCACGTTGTCGTTGGCTCTGTTGTAGTATATCTCCAATCCCTCGTAGTTGACTCTGTTGTGGGCCATCTCCAATCCCACGTTGTTGTTGGCGGTGTTGTAGTATATCTCCAATCCCTCGTCGTTGACTCTGTTGTGGGCCATCTCCAATCCCACGTTGTTGTTGGGCCTGTTGTAGTATATCTCCAATCCCTCGTAGTTGACTCTGTTGTGGGCCATCTCCAATCCCACGTTGTTGTTGGCGGTGTTGTAGTATATCTCCAATCCCTCGTCGTTGAATCTGTTGTGGGCCATCTCCAATCCCACGTTGTCGTTGGCTCTGTTGTAGTATATCTCCAATCCCTCGTAGTTGACTCTGTTGTGGGCCATCTCCAATCCCACGTTGTTGTTGGCGGTGTTGTAGTATATCTCCAATCCCTCGTCGTTGAATCTGTTGTGGGCCATCTCCAATCCCACGTTGTTGTTGGCCTGTTGTAGTATATCTCCAATCCCTCGTAGTTGACTCTGTTGTGGGCCATCTCCAATCCCACGTTGTCGTTGGCGGTGTTGTAGTATATCTCCAATCCCTCGTCGTTGAATCTGTTGTGGGCCATCTCCAATCCCACGTTGTCGTCGGCTTTGTTGTGGTCCACCTCCAATCCCTCGTAGTTTGTTGTTGGCTCCCACGTGGAGCGGCTCCAATACCACGGTGTCGTTGTTGGCTTTGTTGTGGTCCACCCCTCCAGTCCCTCGTAGGTCGTTGTTGGCTCCGACCGTGGACCGGCTCCAATACCACGGCGTCGTTGTTGGCTCTGTTTGTGGTCCACCTCCAGTCCCTCGTGGTTGTTGTTGGCTCCCCACGTGGACCGGCTCCAATACCACGGCGTCGTTGTTGGCTTTGTTGTGGTCCACCTCCAGTCCCTCGTGGTTGTTGTTGGCTCCCACGTGGACCGGCTCCAATACCACGGCGTCGTTGTTGGCTTTGTTGTGGTCCACCTCCAGTCCCTCGTGGTCGTTGTTGGCTCCCACGTGGACCGGCTCCAATACCACGGTGTCGTTGTTGGCTCTGTTGTGGTCCACCTCCAGTCCCTCGTGGTTGTTGTTGGCTCCCACGTGGACCGGCTCCAATACCACGGCGTCGTTGTTGGCTCTGTTGTGGTCCACCTCCAGTCCCTCGTGGTTGTTGTTGGCTCCACGTGGACCGGCTCCAATACCACGGCGTCGTTGTTGGCTTTGTTGTGGTCCACCTCCAGTCCCTCGTGGTTGTTGTTGGCTCCCACGTGGACCGGCTCCAATACCACGGTGTCGTTGTTGGCTTTGTTGTGGTCCACCTCCAGTCCCTCGTGGTTGTTGTTGGTTCCCACGTGGACCGGCTCCAATACCACGCGGTTGTTGTTGATTCTGTCATCGCCATCGTCGTCTCTGGTATGGGAGCATTAGTGGTCGTTGTTTGCGACATACCGCAGTATTTTCCACCATTCGTACTGAAAAGAAAGGTATAAAGAGAATTTCGATCACCCTCCCTTTGGATTAGGAGGCATTATTTATCGACTATGTGAACCAGCAAAGATTTATTTCCAAACAAGAAAAGAACGCTCCTTTGGAGACGCGTTCCACGCTGAACTTATGTGAATAGTCAGTGCCCCACTCCCTCTTCTTCTTGAATGGCAAAGAGTAGGAGCGCATTGAGTGGTAAAGCGCGATGGTTCATCTAATTCTTTTTGTACAATCAGAACAGATATTTCTTGAACTTTTTCCCTACTTCCCTTCGGCTAATGTACATCATCACCTTCATATATCTGAAGACTGCGCCTAAATCATTTAGAGGATGCCCTGGGGCAAACTGCAAGGCAAGAAAGAGACACTCACTCAGCGTCATCAATGAGATGTCTAACATATTTTATTTGTTTCTGTAATCCAGTTGAGCCATTCGCAATGAATGAGCAAGCGGCTCCACCAGAGATGACCTGAAACGATGATCCTCTCTGAGTAAAAATGATAAGTGGTGAAATGAATTTGTTGATTGTTGTTATGATTTTTGAGATGCGCCACAAACTGATGTCATGGTTTTGTTTGTCAACATGTTTAACGAGTACGAAATAACAGTTTGTCTTTACGGTGTCGCCATCCGAATGTTGTGACTTGTCCCACCAAAAATTGTTGACTCGATTTAGAAACGCTACCCTGCCTGATTTGACAAACTCAATTGTCAAGTTCTTTCTCCTGTCTTCGAAATTCTTCTGTTATGAGGAAGTATACGCCACTTACAAACAAAGACTGATTCGAATTGATGAATTACTAGCCTTGGCAGGAAAATCTTATCTCTGAATCTCTAACAAAGTCAATAGTCCTAAGTGTACAATTGCGACTGTCATCAAGAAATAATCCCAAAATGTTCGAAGAAAGAGCCGGAACGGAAATCAATTGCTTCTAAACGCAACATGCGCCGGTTGTAGAATTTGGGATCAAGCTTCACAAAACCTGCTGAGTCTTGGCTGCAAATCACAGGATTTGCTTTCAAAATGGGCTTTGCTCGTATTTTGAAGACCTCGATCACATGGTTTCCCTGGAGACGAAGTCGGCACCATGCTTGACTCGACGTCGTCGAGATAAGCGGCTCCAATTCGCGGGATGAACAAAAATTGGACAGCGACGGTATCTAACACTTCTCATCCCAATGTGAAATCCAAATTTTTCATCTTTATTTATCCCTAGGTTATTTTTTCATCAGAAAATGTCTCGTGCACGTAGATGGGCCGGATGAGAACCTTTTATGCCGGCGTTTTTACACAAAGAACCACTAGTGGTTTCTCGAAGAAACCCCAATGAATAAGGAGAAATCCTGCAGTGGAACCCTTGAGATTCAACTTGCTTCTCAAGAATGAAAGCCAGGACAATCAGTCACTGCTCTATAACACGTATCATCCAGAAAAATCCCGACAAGCACTTCGTCTTCATTCAAGAGAATCAATCCGTTCTCGATCCGCTTTGAAAAGTATTATATCCTAATTGCAATCCAAAAACTGCCCGTTACCGCCATGGTCGGCAGGTGCAGGTCCGAGCCTAAACACTATCAAGAATATATAGGGTATATTAGTTTGTAACATTCACGCAAATGGAAAAGTTATGACAATGTGGGGTCGTTGAGAAATGTCGCAACAAAACAGTGGAAAATTCCATCGTCTATGCCTCAGAAAGAGCTGTGCTATTCGATCTCTGTAAGAAGGGAGCATTTACAAATTATGACATTATCAAAGAACGTGGGCGTAGTGTTGTTTTGTGGTCCACCATACATTTTGTCCAATCTAATATGCATAATCTTAGAAAGTGTACGTCTGTCACTATGAACATTAGAAAAGTTGTAATGTCGAATAAGTAAAAATGTTAGTTTTTGTCTACTTTTAAACAATACTGTCAGCAGAAGCAACAAAAGTTTCAGACTCGCTCATAAATTAGGTTTTTATGAGGCGTTATCTATTGCATCGTACTGTATATTACGACTGTCGAAGTCGTTTCTTTTCCCTTATTGTGAGTTGCCCAAGAAAACTGGGCGCTCACAAAACTACATAGTTATGTAATACTACTGATAATCGACTTTATGAGCTATTCATCATTGTATTGACAAAATGAGCCCAAAAATTAGCGTTCAGCAGTTCAATTAGCACAGTTACTGATGAACACAAAGGAGTGGGAAAGCCTGGTAGTTCGAGGGGAAGCCCTATCAAATTCCATTCAAACGACGGCTGCTGGCCCGATTGGATCCCACAACGGGTGTATGAGTTAATTATATTGACACTAATTAGTAATTTAGGCTTCGAGTGACCCTGAAATAACCTCGCCAGACAGAATGTGTTGCCGAGGCGGAGTACAATACTGCTCCTAACTTTTGAAACATCTACGCGTTGCGACGGTTTTGTAGCGTCGCAAACCGTCGCACCGTCATAACTTCCTCGAAGCGGGTAAAATGAAAGGATCTTTACAGCAATGGACTCGTCTCTCTGTGGCGAGTCTAACCATGTGCAAACTACTAATTTGGTTAAACTGATAAGTTATTCCATGAAAACTATTGTCGATCCCTCGTCTGACAGTCTCGCCTCTCCTCTTTCCATTATCTCTCCAATCAGGGACCAGCTCTTAGCTACCGCCTCGATGATTTCGTAACGCCTCACTTCGAGCCCTTCGCCACTTACGATTGGACGTAAACGCCAAGATGCTCGCCTCGAAAAAATTTCCCGCGCGCGCTCGTTTAAACAATCTAGCACTGAGGCGACCTTCAGCTCAGCTACATATACATATACGAAATTCCCTAGCTCCTTGGGATCCACCTGGAGGGACCGGGTCAAGTGTGGGATGGGTGGGCAAGGTCTCGCGAAGTACAAAACACATCAGCTAAGCGGAGCTCCGCCCACAGTGGGCGTGGCGTGCATCGAAATGAACTGTACTGACAACCAAGACTTCAAGTTCTTAACAAAACAGCCTCGAAACTAAGGAAAAGGTACGCATTGGTAAGTCACATGGAATCAGGGAAACCCACCCTCGGTGGGCGGGGCTTCGAAAAGGCAGTGCTTAATGGAAAATGTCTACGGACAACTTGAACTCAGTCCTTCAAACCGCGTCGACTCGATGCTCTCGCCTGCGCTCTCTCGCTTAAACAGCGGCTTATGATTATTGTGATCTGACACATCCAAACTTTGCCACAATGTAATTGGCTCACCCACTCCGGAGTCCCTTCTCCCTCCAAGGCTTAGTCCTAGGGTTGTCACCTTCCTTCTTGGGTTTTGGAGCCGAGCCAGGCGCCGTTCTCTAATCGTCTGCGCTCTGGCCTTTCGCGGCAGAGAACACAGGGGAGAGTTCAAGTAGTCACGTAATCAATGGAAAAATTCACAACTCGATTAGGTAAAAGAACAGAAAAGAAATGGTGCAGGTTCCAAAAAGTTTTGGAGAGCGGGAAGAAGGTGGATAGAGGTTAGAGAAGAAGGAGAGGTTGGATGCCAAAGGTGGGCGCGGCGGGCACAAAAGTGGGCGGGGTTTGCTAACAAATTTATAACTCGGTTCCAAAAAGCCATGAGACGGGGAAAAAGTAAATAGAGGTCAGCGAAGGAAATGAAGCTAACTGCTATTGGTGGGCGGGGAATGCACCAAAAAAGGCGGGGTTATCCACAAAACATTATAGCTTGGTCCCCCGATGTAAATTGGCGCCAAGGGGCGCCACGATTCATCTCCAGCGATTTCGATGTCAGGGGGGTATTGGTTATTTGAGCACTGATTACGATTATGACGATCGTATTTGTAGCTGACGCTACTTGGCTACTCGGTAGAAGATGAGGACTGTTCTCCTTGTGAACTGTTACTATCACTGGTCACTTGGAGGGAAGAGAGGGGAGGGCAGACAGGCACCTATCAACTGTGAGCGTGAAAAGCCTCACGATCAGTGCAATGGTCACACAAACATGGTCGGTTGACTTTTCTGGAAGAGCACAGCAGGCCAGAATCGGACACCGATCGCCTTCCTGCACCTGAATGTTTCTCCAAGCTATAAGCTCTTCAGCGCAAGAGATCTGAACGTACGTATCGCATGGTGGAGGACGACAAGGGGTGTATCGTCTATCATTGATCGTAATAACTTCTCGTACTGAAAGAAAACGCATTCGCGTCGCAACATAACCTACAGCCCAGAAATGAGCAAATACAGGGGTGGCCAAAAAAGAGACACTTCACCCCACATTCAAAACGGAATTATTTACGCGTTGCGAAACCAAACCAAATGATCCCCAACTGAATATTAAAGAGCACGTTATAATCTATCAAGAAGCTACACAACAGCCTTCTACACCGACGACATCAGAAGATTTTCCCACGGAAGCATTGTGCACGGTACGAGCTCAACGAGGTCGTCGAGATACCATAGACGATTACGACGTCTCTGAAGCGCTGGTCAAAAGCGGCTTTGCATAGTCACAGCTAATGTCTCTGGGAAGCTATTCAACAGTTCATCCATTGAAGAAATTATGTAGCAGCTTCAGGTCGGAGCGATTACGGTAAGCCTCGTTGAACTCGACGGTGACGGCTGATGACGTCACATTCCGGACGGCGGAGGCAGTGAAGGAGATCCTGCTTCTGCTTACGGAGGAAGACTAGGAAAATTTCGCCGTAAAACATTCATGAACATCGGCTCCCTGTGCAACGAAAAGTTAGATGATATGCGCCGTGGGCTAAGTGTCTCTTTTTTTGACCACCCCTTCATAAACTCCTTGATGTACTTATAAAGACTGTGCTAACTTAATATTCTGCAACTATAAGAAGAACTAGACAACTACTCAGAACAGACCTGAAGAGCTGTCTGGTTAGTTATATGCGGACCGTAGCCGACAGTGATGATACCATAAGTACCCTTTTCGAGGATCTCGCCAACAATTCTATGCGGTTCATCGGCGAATCTGCAAAGAGATCGGCTCTCAGTCCTATCAAAGAAAAGAGGT